CCGGTTGATTCTATGATTCTGTGATCTGTATTTTCCCTTGTGTTCCCACAGAACCTATTCAACCCATGGAGACATTTACCTTGTCTGTTAGTTTCAAGTTAACCCCTGCCATGAGAATCATCTCGGCAATGTCCTGCCTGCCATGCTCCGCGGCGATGTGCAGTGAGGTCTGCTGCCTCTGCAGGTGGAGGGAGAAAGGACTACATTTCAGTGAAGGAAAAGTGTGAGGCTGGAAGGACAGGACAGAACAATTCCAGGAGAAAATGCTGTAAGAACACTGTCAACTCTGCCCTTCTTTCCCCTTTATCCCTTTTCAAACCAAGGGTCAAACACCCTCCTATCTCCATCTGGAGCTGGGTTCCTCAGGCTGAGCAGAACTCACCTGCCCCTTTCCCAGCACCAGCACGAGGAAACCTCCTTGATAACATTTCAGCCTAAAGAAGGAACCTCTTCAGCTCCATAAAGCTCTCTAGGGTCACTTATAGGACTGTATTATTTCCTATTATTTAAACAATTTCTGTAGGCAGATAGTTTGGCCATTGGAGGGGAAGACTTGTGCCAGTTATTTGTTCCTGGAACATGGGGCAGGTGAACCGTTTACTCTGTGGATCTTGGGACTGTTTAATGGAAACAACACCAAACACAAAATGTGGCAGTTTTATGGTGTCTTCAGGAGAGAACATCACTACTAGAATGAATATTAACCAAAACAAGCTACACAAAGCACCTCATTCCTTAAATTACAGTTTGGTGAGACAACCAGCTACCTCCAGGCTTGCCTCCCATTGTCAGCCCTCCAAATGTTTTGCAGAATATTTTCCAGCTTGAAGTTCCTCCCAGCTGTTTCCAGCAAGGAGGAGAGAGCCTGACTATGCAATGCTGCTGTGCACAGGTCCCAGGGACAAGGCAGAGCCCATGTGTTGAATGCCATCAAGCAATTACCTCACTGCAACTCTCAGAATCATTTCACAGTTTTCACATTTCCTAAACTGCACTTCCAGGTTTTCCACATTTTAAAGCACTCCTCTTTAATCTTGTCCCCAAGGTGATCAGATCATGTGAATCATGAAACTGATTCACATTTCAAAGGCAAAGAATGGGAGCTACAGTCTTACATTGTCAGGAATGTCAAGGTCACACCCTGCATCAATGAAGAGCTTCACCACGGCTGGGAAGTTCTGCAGGACTGCGATGTGTGTTGCTGATGCATTTTGCTGTGGAAAGAAGATCCTGCACTTAGTAATAGCTTAGCTCATGGCACTGAAAGGACCATACTGTGCCCAGGATGTCTTACTCTATCACAGCTGCCAGCCTGGACTGGGGATACTGCAGTACTGGTCCTTGCAGAGTTGCTTTGTGCTCTCCAGCAGCTCCACAAACTGATTCTGCCTTATTGTAAGTGGTGATAGCATTGAGAGGCACTTACATGATTAACAGTGTCCATGTGGATTCCTGCCTCCATGAGGATCCTGGCTATCTCCTCATAGCCACCCAGTGCTGCGTAATGAAGGCAGTTCATCTTCTTCTGAGAGGCACATCAGAAGAGATGAGTGTTAGTCAGGGCTTCTTGCCAGAGGCTGTAGTTACAGACTATCCACAGAGAGCTCCCTGCTTCCCTCCAGCAGGAGCCCCACGCCCCCACACTGACAAATTCATGGAGATTGTCTCCACAGCCAAACCAGTCTTAGGGAGCTTCACTTACCTCTTTGTACAGAGCCATGTGTACCTTTCTCTGAAGTTGCTGTGCTATTCCTGAGTGCTGAGCTCCACATGGCCTGTCCTGATAATGGGTGCCCCCCTGGGAAGCCACAGGTCTGGGCATAAACCCACAAAGTAGTGTTTGGAAATGGAATCACCTCCATGGAGCTAACCTGGTTTTGGGCATTGACATCAGCACCTGCTTCCACAAGCAGCTTCACACAGTCACTGTGACCCCCCTCAGCAGCCAAGTGCAGAGCTGTAAGTCCTTCCTGGGCAAGGCAAAAAAGGATACAGGCAGTGTTTCTGTAGACAAGGCCAAGACAGAGCAGCAGAATGAGCAAGACTCTACCTCATCTTCTGAATTAATGACATGTTGAAGTATCAGTTCTGAGGGTGAGGGATCGCCAATCAATTGTCAGGAAAATAGAGGACACAATTATCTGCTGCTGACAAACCAGAGCCACAAGATAGACATAATATGCACCATCTTTCGTACCCTTCAGCCTATTAGCAAACCAAAAAGGATTTCACATGGACAACAAAGACAAACCATTTTCCTGGAGTAGCCCAGAGACAGAACTGTAAACATGTGACCCTCAACCATTGGTTTTCCCTTCTGATGGCTGCAGCTCATTTCTTCACAAGAAAAGAGGCAAAATTCCTAAGTGATATAATCTGGTTTTATTATTGCTCTTCACACAAAGGGCAGCTCATTTGGAGGATGACAAATGCTACCAGTTACCATAGAACGTGGCTTCTCATTTCTTTCAGATCTTAATCACAATCAAATACACTTTTCAAAGACAGTAACCAAATAAGACTGAAAAAAATTGCTGATAAACTTAATTGGGAGCATGCCCTGAAATACATAACAGTGATACTAAGCCAATATTTGCTATCTAAATCATTAACTGTGTTCCAGCCACATAATTTTCCAGAGCAGATCTGTCAAAAGAGAGATCTCCAACAGAAGGTCCATATGTTCAGTGACTAAGTCAATACCATAAAGCACAGTGAAGTTTAGTTTAAAACACACTCAATAACCATTTAGGCACTTGAATGTACAAGGGTCAGGGAGAAAAAGGGAGATTAAATGGAGTGATAAGGTAGGTCAGCAGATACAGCAGGAAGAGAAGGCAACACTTTACAGCTGGAAATTGGTCCAAGACGGATGTTGCCTTTCACTGGTACTCAGCAAGCACACCCTGCATTTAACCAGGTTGGTTTTTTTCACACATTACATAGGCTTTAGATAAAATCAGCTATTTTCTAGACCTCTCCTATCAATACTGACTATTCAGCCTGGTGACTGTAGCAGGAAAGTGTTTCTAGGGAAGAAAAGGGCAAAACTGATGTGGTTTTTATTTCATTTAAATATACTTACTGAGTTTTTTTCATCAAGGTCTACTCCAATATCTATAATCTTCTGCAGCACAGAGAGGTGTCCATTTTTAGCAGCTAAATGCAATGCTGTATTTTCTTCCTGAAAGTAAACATCACTTCATAAGTATATGTATCACAAGACTGTGTGTTCATACACCACAACCTTGCACAGAGTATATCCAGTGTGATTAAAATGGAGGTTGTAACCAGAAGCACGACTCTGAAGCAATATTCTAACAGTTGCAGTAGGGAGGGAAGAAAACCAACTCGCTTAACCTGGGGCATGGTCCCCCAGGCTTGCCGTGAATCCTGTCTGAAAAGTCCTGGCGAGAAATCCAGCATAGACTGAGGTGCAAATGATTTACATGTGGATAGGGGAGAAAAGTCCTGGAGAGAAATCCAACATGGACTGAGGTGCAAATGACTTGCATGTGGATAGGGGAGAAAAGCCCTGACATACCACAATCATAGTTACAACTGCAAACAACTTGCCTGCACAAGCCTCATTTGATATCCTGTTCCCTGACTTTCACATCCCCTAATCCATGGACTTCACCTCCCTTGAGTGTGGTTTTATGCCCATACCTTGTCTTTGGCACTGTGAGAACAGCCCAGTCGAATGAGGAGCTCCACCACCTTCAGCTGCCCCTGCTCTGCGGCCAGGTGAAATGCTGTCCTGTCCATCTTTGAGAGGAAACACAGAAGCACAGTCCAAAAAAATGCTCAGAAAGCTTGAGCTGCAAGCAATACAATAATGTCCTGGGGCAATAATCCATTCCACAAAGGGGAACAGTGCTGCATTTCAAATATAGTTTCCTTTTATTCTGCTGCTTTTACTTTGCTTTACATTTGGGATGACCCCAATAAAACAAGGTGAACAGAACTACCTACTGGGGCTAACAAGCATTTTGGTCTCACCAAACACTGGAAAAGAGATCTTTTCAGTGGTTGTTTCATATAAATAGAGAATAATAAATAGTTTAGCAAAAGCAACTAAAGATAAGACAATGGAATTAATATCTAAGACTCCAGCTTTCAAGTGAGTCAAGACTCGGGCAGAGAAAGGCAGATATCTTGTTGCATCATTTAGTTCTCAAGCATCAGAGTGGAGATCACTCTCGAGACCATGAAGACCATGAAGCAGATAATCATGTGGACTAACTCCTGTGTGTTCTTATGTCATCTCTAGGAACAGATCAGCCAGTGCTAGAACATGCTGGAGAGGGCTACCCTGATTATTACATAGGTACAATACACTCAGGAGCATCAGCTACAAGAGAACAGGACACTGAAATTCCAGAATTTATTCTGCAAAAGGCTACACTGAGAAGTCCTGGCTTCTGAAGCTTGATCAGACACAGAATCTCTGTAATTCCTAAGATCACTCTGCAGGAAGTCTTCTGGGAGTAGCATCTGACTCTGATTCTCTTCCCAAGACCAAGGGCAACATTACTGCTAAGCTCAGCAGACTAAGACCAGACTTTGTGAAAGAAAGTGGTGAAGAGCCTTCCTACCTTGTCTGTCTCATCCACACACACATCCTCCAGGTTTTCCATGATAAACTCCATCACCTGGATGTGTCCCCTTTGAGCAGCACAGTGGAGCATGTTCCTGCCATGCTGGGGAGGAGATAAAGGACTGATCATTTAACAAGTTCAAGACTGCAGGACTGTCTCTTTTGACAACCTGTTCGTGTTAGCAAAGGCCCATTCCATGTCTCCCTGCCCCTCTAGGGTTAAACTTCCTTGTGTTGCAGACAGCAAGTTATGACTGAAGTTTTAATGCTCCTTTTCTGAACCAAGGTCTGTTTTAAGATGCACAAACTTCTGATTCACTAAACCCATTTACTAGTTCTGTAACACTTTGCACACCAGCACTGCACAAACATGAGCTGTGGAAGCCACAAGCCTCTCTATAGCTGCAATCATTACACCTCTTTTAGGGACAAGGCAGAGTGCAGGTAGCAGTCCCCAGAGCAGATGCTGTCACACACCTGAGCTCACAGGTAAGCCAATCTGTACCCCAGCACTGTCTATAGCAGTGTGATGGACCCACATAGGGAGACTCACCCTGTTGACACGGTTAATCTTGGCCCCAGCATTGACAAGGATCTGCAGGACACGGAGGTGGCCAAACCAGGCAGACAGGAGAAGTGCATTCATTCCAAACTGGGCAGAAGAGAAGAGATATATTTACAGCTAAACTGCAACCCCCACCATCCCCACCCTGGAGGGAAGCTGTCCCCTTAGCTTCATGTACTTTCCCAAATCTATTTGTGGTATATTTTTTAACCCCACTTTTTCCTATTGTTATTATTCCTGACACAGATGTCCACAGCAGCTGAGCAGAGACCCACTGCAACTGCCACTTCCTAACTAATGTTGTGTATTATCCTGGTTGTATGGGGGTGAGAGAACTTGGTGGCTGTCACTGTCATCCCACAAGCCCTGACAACATGGCCAGAAGAAGCCAAGCATCCCCATGCTCTACATAAAACCTCACAGATTCTACCAGCCTAGTCCCAGTCACTGTGCATGCAAGGAAAAGGCCCAAAAGCATAGCACAGACACATGTGGAAACAAGGCTTAGTCCAGAAATACCACCCTTTGCCATCCACCCAGGGCTGAGGTGAAGTCTGTAACTGTTAGCCCAGCACCCAGTCCCTGCTGCTCCCCCAACCCCAAACACATTTGCAGGACATGCAAGGGAGAGTCCTCTGTACACTGTCTTCATCATCCACAGGGACATCATGATCCAGGAGCAGTCTCACAGCATCCATATTCCCTGCTCCTGCAGCCCAGTGCAGGGCAGTCCGGTCTGTCTGGAAGGGAAGGACAGAGAGAGAGAAGGCTGATGTATACAGCGTGTGTGTATCCACCAGCCTTCCTGAAGGCCACAATCTCCTTTGCCATTCACAGATCCAGAATTTCTGACGTTGTTCTTTGGACACAACCCCCTGTCCCTTTGCTCTCCTAGAGAGGTGCTAGTCACCTACTCAGAAACTGCAGTTCTGGGCTATAACAACAGCACAGGAGTGAAGAACATCATTAACCATCAATAGACAGACTAAATGATAGGGAAGACCTGCACCAGGAACTGAGTTGGTCCCACAGCCTTGGCATGCACGGATAGCAAAATCGAAGCAACTGTGTGTACCTGGCACAAAGGTTACAGAGGGAACCATAAATTATCACCCTCCCTCAGCACTTGAGGCTTTGCAGTGGGGCCAGGATGGTAGTGCTGGAGGTCTCAATGTGTTGTGAAACTTTGTGGTTGCCACAGGCCCTATTTAGCACAGGGAGGTGTATTTTAAAGCTTTGACCCATTAACCAGCTAATGAGAAGAGCAGCATTAAGGAGCTGCAGTTCTGAAACACACCCTGAGAACTTCCTGCAGCTTAGAGGTGGAAAAGCCCAGGACTTACATTATTTTTGGCTTTGATGTCAACCCCTCTCCTGATGAGCTCCTCCATCCTGGCTGTGTCGTTACGCTTTGCTGCATCATGGAACTCCTTCTCTGACTGAAGCACTGCAACAGAGCAGAAGAGTGAGCATTAAAACCATGCTGGCAAGGAGCAGGGAGCAGCATGCCCCAGCAAACCTCCCCTTCATCTCACTGGCCCACGTTGCTTCAGGGAAGGATGAATGCAGAAAGATCCTTCCAGCAAGAATCTCAGCTCTACAGATGTTGGCATGTTTGCTGGATTTGTCTTCTCCCACTGTTTCTCCTTCACTGAGTACCCCTGTGCCACATCAGTGCTCTTACAGTCCTACCCACTTCACTTCTCATTCAGTGTCTTTCTCTGCATGGATTTGCTCCAGCTGCAAAACCTTTTGATCCATGAGGTCCATGTCCTCTGGGCACCCTTGGAGGTGCAGAGCCAGTGTGAAAGCTCTGACAGATGACACAGGCCCTTTCCTCCATCCCTCCGCCTACATCCCACTGCTCTACAAGGAGTTCTTTATGCATGGTCCTGCTGTCCCCCTCCAGGCAACCCAAACCAGCCAAACAGCACAGAACTGCCAGCCTGGCCTGTGATTAGTGTTGCATCTCTTAATGAACCATGGCAGTTGTGCACATAATTTACCACGACTGGCAGTATTTGTCCTGCACAGTTAGTCACAATTCAAGAGTGTTTGCTCTCTGTGCTGGGCCTTGCCCCAACAATCTTCTCCTTGATTGAACAAACCTTCCTGCCAAGAAATGAGAGCAAGACTGTGACTCTGGGCCTGCTGCAGCCTGACAAGGAGGCTCTGAAGGATTTTGGCAAGGCTGGTGTCAGTCTTTGTTGGACTCAGTCTCCACCCTAGTGCTCTTGGGGAATTCTTTCAAGAAGTGCTTGAGTCAGACCCTCAGCCTGTCACATCCCACTGGAGAGCTGGCCCAGAGGCTCTGCTCCCTTCTATGCTTCTGCAGAACTCAGGCTGCAGTTTGAGGGGCTCAATGCAACTTCAGTTGGTTTCAGCATATCAACTAGGCACTAACCATATGCTATACAAGAGGCATCAAAACATATTATTATTCCCATTCCACCACAATGAGGAGATAAACAGACTTGCTGCCTAAATAGCACTACCCAATTTCCCTCTGGAGGGCACAGAAGAAAGGCATCCTTACTGCATACTCTTAGAGCAACTGGGGTATAACCTCATCCTCCAATCTCCATTCCTCCTACCTTCAAATAAAAAACTTTAGCTCCATAAAAACACAAATAGCATAAATTTTAATACCAGACAGGATCATTCAAGAGTGTGTTTATCCACTTAACACTAGACATGATCATCTAAGAGGGTTTATTCTGTTGGTCCTGCTGCTATAATTAAGGCGTTAAGATCTGGACACTGATTTCTGCAGAAACAGGATTTCCTGTACTGTATGTTAAGACTCTGTTATCATCTGGCCTGGTGTGTTAACAGGAGTGCATTTCCACACCTGATGGACTCTTCATTTCAGAGGAAACACCAGTGAAAATACTTGTGAGAAACATGTGGAGTGTTTGTTAATTATTATCACCGATGGCTACACACACACACATACCACCCCTTTGTAAATGCTTATCTCCATTCAGCGGAGTAAATAATATGTTTCAGTTAAGCAAATGTTTCTGCTTCTGCTCTCCAGATGACAGAAATGTGTCATATTTGATGGTCCCACAAAGCAACATTGTCAAGAGATGCCAAATCTCCCCTTGACTCATTTATTGTTTCCTCTACCTGTGGAGATGCAGTAACAAACTTGGCATAGCTAAGGCTGTAGAACCTGCAGTTTATTTCTTTCCAGCAACACATGAGAAACAATTTGATGGTCTGAGTTTCCTATTTAGTGTCCACACAGGTGCAGCTACTCCTGCAAATGTAAATGCACTCCTCATCATGGCATGAACCCATCCAACAGCAGCATTTCAGTGGATATTTTCCTTCTCTTTCCAGCTCCAGTTCCAGAGTATTTCATAGTTTGTAGTGCTGAATATGAATTCAGTTATCCCAAACAGCATGGAAAACATATATCGTCAGTGCAATGCACCAACTCTCAGGCAGGTTATTATGCAAGGATGTAAAATAGCAGCAAATGAGATGAAAGACATGCAAAGAAATATGCCAAAACCTCTTCTGGGCTTTACCTGGGGCTGCAGGACACAAAGACAACCCGAGATGGGGACTGAGGAGAGAAAGGGGACCAAAACCACCAAGTGGGGGGTACAGGGGCTGTATGCAGCATCTCGGGGGTACAGCATGTTTTGAGGCAACAGCGGTGGTGATTCCCGTGTAGCTCACACACCTGCTTTGTTTCTCAACGGATTTCCATGCGTCTGGTTATTCTTTAGAGCATCCCAGCCCTGGCCCTGAGCCCCCACTCACGGCACAGCCCCCCCAGCCCCCTGGGCAGCCCCCGCCTGGGCCCCACTCACGAGTGTCGTCCTCCGACGCCAAGTCGTCCCCCATGTCGCGACACACGGCCCCGGGGTGGGCTGGCAGTCGTCCCCTCCTCCTCCTCCTTCTCCTCCTCCTCTCCTCCTCTCCCAGGCGCGTTCCCGACGCCTCTTCGCGGTGCCACCGCGCGGCCGCAGGGCGCCTGTTTAACCCTTCTTTAAAGCAAACTGTCAGAAAATAAGCGTTTTTTTCCCGACAAACACGGTGTTTTCGGGCCGGTTTGGGATAACCTTAGGGGGAACATGCAGCTGATGCGATTTCGGGCAGGTGCTGCCCTTCGCCTCCGCGCGGCTCTGCTGGAGGCTGCTGCTCCCAGAGGGCGGGTGGTTCGGTTTGAAATCGATTTAATTCTCTTTCCAAAGCAATTTGGGAGGAGAGGGATTGCTACTCAGTGAGTTGTTGCTTTTTTCCCCCCTGGAAGCAGTGGTCAGGGTTTGATATTTCCAGGGATGAGGTGCTGCTCTCTTTATCACGCGTCCAGCAGTGGGTGTGGGAGGGGGTTAAAAGCACTGTGCCCTCAGAGTTTTAGTGATTCTCCTGTTTCAGCCTCTGGGGCTGGTTTTGTCTTACTTTCTTCTCCATTTTGGTAGTATGAATAGAAAGGAACCAGGCAAGAGCTGAGGTCAGGGGAGAATCAGATACATTTCTGTGGATCCTGCAGAGTATTCCCTCACTGGAGCACTGCATCCAGCTCTGGGACACACAACATAAGGACATGGGCCAGTTGGAGTGAGTCCAGAGGAGGTCACAATGATGCACTTGGGGCTGGAGCATCTCTGCTCTGGAGACAGGCTGAGAGAGCTGAGGGTGTTCAGCCTGGAGAAGAGAAATTCCAGGGAAATCTTAGAGCTCTTCCAGTGCCTAAAGGGACTCCAAAAGAGATGCAGAGGGACTTGGGGCAAGGGCATACCTGCTGTGTTTCTCAACGGATTTCCATGCGTCTGGTTATTCTTTAGAGCATCCCAGCCCTGGCCCTGAGCCCCCACTCACGGCACAGCCCCCCCAGCCCCCTGGGCAGCCCCCGCCTGGGCCCCACTCACGAGTGTCGTCCTCCGACGCCAAGTCGTCCCCCATGTCGCGACACACGGCCCCGGGGTGGGCTGGCAGTCGTCCCCTCCTCCTCCTCCTTCTCCTCCTCCTCTCCTCCTCTCCCAGGCGCGTTCCCGACGCCTCTTCGCGGTGCCACCGCGCGGCCGCAGGGCGCCTGTTTAACCCTTCTTTAAAGCAAACTGTCAGAAAATAAGCGTTTTTTTCCCGACAAACACGGTGTTTTCGGGCCGGTTTGGGATAACCTTAGGGGGAACATGCAGCTGATGCGATTTCGGGCAGGTGCTGCCCTTCGCCTCCGCGCGGCTCTGCTGGAGGCTGCTGCTCCCAGAGGGCGGGTGGTTCGGTTTGAAATCGATTTAATTCTCTTTCCAAAGCAATTTGGGAGGAGAGGGATTGCTACTCAGTGAGTTGTTGCTTTTTTCCCCCCTGGAAGCAGTGGTCAGGGTTTGATATTTCCAGGGATGAGGTGCTGCTCTCTTTATCACGCGTCCAGCAGTGGGTGTGGGAGGGGGTTAAAAGCACTGTGCCCTCAGAGTTTTAGTGATTCTCCCGTTTCAGCCTCTGGGGCTGGTTTTGTCTTACTTTCTTCTCCATTTTGGTAGTATGAATAGAAAGGAACCAGGCAAGAGCTGAGGTCAGGGGAGAATCAGATACATTTCTGTGGATCCTGCAGAGTATTCCCTCACTGGAGCACTGCATCCAGCTCTGGGACACACAACATAAGGACATGGGCCAGTTGGAGTGAGTCCAGAGGAGGTCACAATGATGCACTTGGGGCTGGAGCATCTCTGCTCTGGAGACAGGCTGAGAGAGCTGAGGGTGTTCAGCCTGGAGAAGAGAAATTCCAGGGAAATCTTAGAGCTCTTCCAGTGCCTAAAGGGACTCCAAAAGAGATGCAGAGGGACTTGGGGCAAGGGCATGTAGTGATAGGACAAGGAGGAATGGCCTTAAGCCGAAGGAGGGCAGGTTTAGATTAGATATTAGGAAGAAATTCTTTACTGTAAGGGTGGTGAGCACTGGCACAGGTTTTCCAGAGAGGTTGTGGAGTCCCAGTCCCTGGCAGTGTTCAAGGTCAGGCTGGATGGAGCTTTGAGTAACCTGGTCTAGTGGAAAGTGTCCCTGCTCATGGCAGATGGGTTGAAACAAGATGATCTTTAAGGCCCCTTCCAATCCAAACTAATTTGTGATTCCTTGCTGATGGTGTCAGGGTAGGAGAGGTTACATCAGGTTTGTATTCCCTCCCTGTACCATGCTGGCCGACAGATCTGGTCCTTGCCAGGACTCCTGGAGGAGTCTCTCCCAGCCTGGCTGCTTTTGGCTGGGAGCACACGCTGGTCTCGGCCACCACATGAGGGTGCCAGTGCTGTTCACCTGCCACGACTTGCTGCTCGAGCGATGAACTCCAGGGTGCAGATGGGGCTGTTCCCGGGGTTTAGGCCAGTTTTGGGGGACGCTTCTATCTAGACTTGTGTGGGTCTGTGCTGCTCCTGCAAGAGAGCTCGGGGTGTTTGTTGTGGTGGGAGATGACGGGAGGCAGGGGATATCCTGGGGGGATGCAGAGATGCAGAGACTCCCTGCTACTCCTGACATGTCCCTCTGTGGGCACAGCTACACCAGAGCTGTCATTGGGGTAGGGAGATGGTGGTTTCCATCTCATTGAAGCCACCACCGAGGGTCTCAGTAGCCGAGTGCTTGCTGATGCAGTGGGACCATGAGCAGGGCTGTGAGATGGGGGGACAGACCCTAAGCTCTTGAGCAAACATGGATTGTGGGGTGGTCATGGCTAGCTGCTGCTCTCAGAGCTTTGGATTTGTATTTTGTTTGCCTTTCATTCAAATTGAATTAAAAAAAAATCCCTCTCTGGTAGGAAAAGGGAACATAAGGTCTGTCTGGATAAAGGGGAAGCCCTTCTTTCATACAATAGCTCAGCAGGTACAGCATCCTCCCCGAGGGAAGGGGAAAGCTGGACTTGATCCTTGCTTCTGCCCGAGGGGAGATGCAAACCCTGGTCCCCACAAGACCCTAGAGAGCACCGGCTGCAAGCATGTCTGGTGCAGAGAGTTTTTCTTGCCCTTTCCTGTTATTTTTAATAATTAATGATTTGATGGAGCAGGGAGTGGAGAAAGCAGGTGTCCCATCTCCCCGAGGAGCAGTCTGTGCACCCGGCGAGACGCGGCCTTGCTCTTTCAAGATGAATATTTAAGTGTTTTCAGACAAACTGGAACAGCGCCAGCAGGAAGGACTGAGAAGGGCTGAGCCCTTCCCACTGGGGATCCTAGTGCCTGGGGCCTGGGGAAACAGCCCTGAATAGGGCAGGGAATAATCCCTGTTTGTATGGACTATGGATGTACCATGCAGCCCAGCCTTAGGTGAAACCTCTGGCTCTTGCTAGTCTTTGTTATGCTGTAAGAGATCCATGGATGGAATGATGTCTGGATTTAACCTGCCACTGTCATCCATGTCATTGTCTTCCAGAGCTTGAATCAGCCAGGACTGATCACCCACAGCTCTTCTGCTACTTAATGCTGACCTCCAAGGAGAATAGCACAGATGCACTGAATGTTTGCACCTGTTTGTGAGTTTGGGTGTTTCCAGCAGGCAGAAAGAAAAGCAATATAGGTTGTTCCTTCTGTCCTTCCCAAAGAGGTATGTGTTCAGGGGTGGAAGGGGCCAAGACTTTCTGCTGATACCGAATACAAAGTGCTGCAAGGATTTATTAGTGACACTGAACAGTTACCTAGTGATCCAGGTATTAGCTAACAGTCCTAAAACAGCTTTTGAATTTTTCCACTAATGTGGATAACGAATGACAGGGGGAGATGGTAATTCAAGCTCTTTTTTCAATAGGTTCCAGACATTGACCCCCATCTCCAGGATAGTGTTAAAGTCTTTAACTTTATTTCACTTGAAGAATAATTTTAGCTGAGCCAGCTACATGCCTTCTCACTTAGAAGTGAAGTTGTTTGACAGAGAATTTCGTGCTCTTACCTTGCATGCACAATTTTTATGCATTAGTTTAGGGTAATCATTATTTTCAATCCCATTCAAAAATCACCAGCCAGGCAGGCTGCTTAAATCCATGTCATTTTAAAATGTGCCTCTGTTAGCTCTCTGGTTTAGTTGTACACACTGTGATTTTAAAGGCAGTCAGATTTGCAGTTAGCCATGTAATACAGCCCACAAACCAGTATGTGTTTATGCAGAAATAGTTGCTTACCTAAAGGTTTAGCAAATTGGACTTTAATATATAATCTTCCTCTGGAAGCAAAACTGGAAGGTGACTCCTGCCTGCAGCTGCCTGTAGTTTGGGAAGCCAAGCCTCTGCTTCCCTGGAGCTGCCCACAGCAAGGGAGCCTGGCAGGGGAGCAGCCTCCATCCCTGGAGGATTGTCTTTTCTGGCATATGCTGCCACAGTAAGGAAATTGAATATTGCATAGGAGAGGGGATGACCACGTTCCTCTTTCAGTGCTGATGGTCTCTTTTTACATGACAGCGTGTCAAACAGCCCAATGTGCTGAGACAGCAACCATGGGCTCTGCCTGGCAGCACCTAAACCAGATATTTGGGCAGTGTGGTACATGGTTGTCATTGATGCTGTGAGGAATTGTATGTTTGTGCTGCTTTATGTCCCTGCTGTGGGTATGAAAGGGCCTAACCATACCAGTTCTGTGTCCTGGCTTGCAAACTGTGCTTTCAGATATGTCCCATTAGCACGGAACACATGTTACAGCTCTGGCTACATGGCTTCATGTGTGGCTCCAGCTTATTTATTTTTTGTCTGGGCTAGGCTTTTAGTTGTTCTGTAGACTAGGTTATTTTTGGTGCTTTCTTTGATAACTCTGTTCCTGTGACATGCTGCGGAGCCAGAACTCCCCTGGGAACATCCCAGCAATGCACACAAACATCAGCCCTGTAGCCCCTAACAGTCAACATATGGAGCTTTCAGAAGGCCTGGACACCTA